TCTAACTACAGCTGAGCTTGTAGCAGAGGGACCTCAGTCATACACTCTTGAGCAACAGCACTTGCAGAAATGTTAAACAAGTCTTACTGAAGCAGGAAATAGGCATTGCTTGCCTACTTCATTCAACAATTTGCATTTATATTCAGATGTAAGATTTTATATACCAGGTTGCATACTTATCTCAAGAATGCCTGTTGTTTTGATTTCCCTAGAGAAATCTAATAATGAAAAAGTTTATCTTCTTTCACATTGTAGCTGGAGCAAATAAGAATCAGTGCAAATATCCATTTTTTGTTCACTGACATCTTAGAATGACAGCTATAAAATTCACCCAATTGATGCATTTTTGCAGAATGCATAGAATAGTTGATGTTTCCTTTTATTTTTTTTCTTTACATTCTTAGATTTTCATATTATTCTATTCCTCTGAATGCAGAGAAATAGGAATAGGCTTGTTTCTTAAGAGACTAAGGAAGCACTGGCTTTACATTTTCCTGACCATACATTGCTATGGAGTAAAGAATATCAGCAGTGGACACCAGGTAATTCCTTTCAAGTCACTAAATCTTGAGCTTTAGACTATCTAAACTCTCAATTCAGAGACTTAATGTGGATCCTCCTGACTACTGCAAACAGCTGTGCTAAAATCTCAATTACAAAACTGAACTTTACTTCTGCTTTCAATCTCCTTTTCCCACCTGTCCTCTACTTCTCAAACCACTTGGTCTGCTCTCCCTTCTTTCAAGTCATTGGTAAATGCCAGAGGTAAGTAATTACTAACATTCACACCTAACACCACAGCAGCCTAATACCAAAAAGAGCTTACAGGTGTGCTCTGACAAACCAATACAAATGTCATATGTGCAGAACACACAGATACATGATCAGAGTCTCATCTGCTCTGCATCTTAGTGTATGAAATGTAAATAGGCTCAAATGTCTCTCTGATACTGCTCACTTTTCATTCACTCAAACTCCATGGGAAATCTCATCCCTTGTCACATCATCAAACAGTAGCACTATTCCTAAGGCAAGGCCTTCCACAAATATCCCATGTCTACCATCACATAAACTCCTGCTCCTCCAATGCAGGTGGGCTGAGCTAGTCCCGCTTCCCCCCAGTTCATTTTAGGATCCCCACAGTGCCCCATGCCTCCTGCAGTATCTCAAATGTCTTCCTCCAAACCGCCCACCCCAATAACAGCAGCACACACTCTCAGCGAGTAACTACCACAGGCTTTCCTCTTTCTTCTGCTTTTAGGAAGCAGAGCAAGAAGTGCTCCTGTTGTATGGGAAATTTATCTTTCCAGTCCTGGCAGATCAGACTCCCAACAACCTCACATGAGGATGAGGTGCACTATGGGAGATATGAGCAAGCTGAGGTCCAAATTACTCTTGGTTTTAAGCCAGGCCTGACCATGTAGTTTGTGGGCTTAAAATGCCACAAGTGTCTTCAAGGAGATCTTAAGGATGTGATTTCAGAGTGGGTTGCAAAATGAATACAGCACAGGCAGAGCATTCACATTATCTTTACTACTGTCTGGGGTGATAATTAATGTCCCAAGCTTTCTGCCATGCTGTGTGGAGCCAAGGAAAAGGGGAGGTCAGTGAAAACTGCTACTCACTCAGAGACACGCAGCAATGTTTTGCTCAATGGAGTGATATCTGATCTCACATATGCAGGATATAACATAAGTATCTGCCAACCCACCATGATAACATCCCTAGCTATTCCCCCAGCTTGGTTTATTCCATTTGCCCTTTTTTTTGTCCACTCTTAAGCCTCACTTCATCAGACTATTGCATAGAGACTGCTGAAACACAAAATGAATGCAACATTCTAGCTTCTACTTCTTGTTTTCCCTTTCTCTGCATTTCCATTAAATAACTTTCCCATGCTTTTAAGCTCACCACAAATCAGTTACAACTTCCTGCAGACCTTGTTAACTCCTGCTTATCCCAGTTCCCTAAGTTTGTTTAGTTTTCCAAGTAAACCTGGTCTAGTGAAAGGTGTCAAGGGAGTTGGAATTAGATGATGTTTAAGGTCCTTTCCAACTCAAACCATTCTGGGATTCTAGTGCTGCAGCTTGACAAATATCAGGAGGTGAAGGCAAATAACCCAAATGCATTGTCTGGGGACTAGTGCAACACAACCAAACAGCCTCCATCTTCCCCTCTTAAACACCTGTGCAAACAGACTTCAGTTGCTCCATTTCTACCTTCAAAGTTCCTATTTCCAAATGGAATAAAACATTACAAGAAGTTAGCTAAAGCAAATGCTTCACAGGGAGATATGGCAGCTGCATCACAGACAAGCTAGACAACTTACTCTAGGAGTGGCTGTCACATTTGTGGCAATGCCTCCTGGAGATATAAATTCAGTTCCAAAAGCAACCTTAGCTACTACCAGGACCAAGGCCAGATGTTAAGTGGCAGCCAGGGAGATGTTGAAAGGAGTGTAAGGACTTGATCCAGGAACAATTGTTAAACATTGTGTGTGTCACAGACACAAAAGGCTGGGAACACTTAGGAGCCTTCCCTTTACAATTTAGATGGTAAATCCTATTGCCAGCCAGCTGCAACAAAACAATCCTCTTGAAAAAGCGGACAGGGCATTTTTAGGGCTGTTAAAAAAAACCCAGAGATATTCTGGGAAGACATAATTTTCATTGTGGCAGAACACTGTGTTGGGAACACCTGTGGAATAAGAAAAAGATGAAGGAATGTAGCAACCACACACGCTAAGAGCAGCCCTGGTTTGATATTCAGCAATTTCTTGAATGAAAGAATTTGTTTTGCTATCTGTGTTACTTAGAAAAATGGGAGCTTACCAAAACCAAATGCCCCAGCTCTAAACTTGAAAACACTTTCAAACACAGATCAAATAGAACCAGCAATGTGGGGAAAGGAAGACTAAGGACAAACCTGCATGATAAGGCTTTGCTCCCAGAAACAGGAGCTGCTACCCCCATCCCTTTCTCTTCCAAAGACATAGGCACAATAAAAACAACTCAGAAGAACCCAAAAGTCTCCCTGGTATTGACTGACAGTGAGAAAGTACCAAAGCAATGCAATGTGGAAAGTTACTCTAGACCAAATAAAAACTGAATTCAATGTGGACTAATGAAACTCTATTTCAACCCTCTACAGTTGGGCTTATTCAGAATTAAAGTAGCTATAATCAACTCTAACATAACTCAATTTTGAAGAAAATTGAGTAAAATAGAGGCCACACTGAATAGCTACAGTACAGAAAGGTAAGGACAGGCAGACAGAGTGAAATGTGCGTATCAAATCAGATCAAGCTTCCCCATTCTCCTGTGCAGAGAGTTCCTAAATGAATTTGGATTCCTTTGCATTACTTAACTTGATCCATCAAGTGCAGTCCCTACGTCAGGCACTGAGGGACACTGGATTCTGAGTGCTGTGCACGTCAGCAGGAGCAGCACCTGCAGCATTTCCATCTCCCATGGATGCCCAGCTCAGGGGGCTGAGTGCATTCATCCTACCTGGGCAATGATGGCTGATCAAGGGAGTCTCTGCCCTTGCCAAAAGGAAAGATGAAGGAAAAAGAACCACAAGAGATAAAATCCTTAAACTCTTCCAGTACTGAGGATTGCCTGCCAGATCCTGACCTGATCCTGACACACAAGCAGGCACTGCTCACTGCTGTCACACCTGGGCTAGGCCTTCAGGAAAGCACAAAGTAGGTGATTAATTTTGCACATATAAGCTATACCATTAGACTTTGCACCCTGTGGGCTCCTGCTGCATTGGCATTGAAGCTGTAATCCATTACATCTGTCTGGGCACACACTTCCTCCACAAAGTGTGTATTTATAGGAGTGTTAAAAATGTCAAGGACTTTCAGCTTCAGATTCTGACTTCAGCCTTCCCTGTTTAGATTTTCACTCACATAACTGCCTTAATTTCCATTTATATTGTTCCTTTTAGTTTCAAGCCACATACATAGCCTTTACTAGCCTAGACTGACTAGCTCTGACTGCCTAAAAATCAGCAGAAATAACTGATTAAGGCAAGGGCCTGGAAAAAGTCCTCTATTGAGGCATGGAATCTCAGTCACTTAAGAGATTTGAGGGCTTGTGTGCCTTAACTCATTCTGTACTTCCCAGGGAAAAAAATTATTATGTGAAGCACAGTAAGGAACAGCCTTTTACAGAGGCATCACCAGATGACCAGCTGAACCACAGTTCCTCTTCACTCTGAGGTTTGCCAAACCCCATGGTGAAGTCCTAGACTTGAGCAGCAAGATCACCTCACTTCCTGGTCCTCATCTGAACAGGATGCAAAATACACATTAACACCAACTACAGAAGGTATTCACTGCCCCTAAATTTCACCTTGAAGTGGCATCAAACTGCATTTTGATAAAATACACCAGGGATGTGGCTCAAGCTTCTGTGAAATCATGGACAGCTGGCACCTTATTAATCTTTGATTTCACAGCAGTCTCCTTGTGCTGGCACCTTTGCTTCCAGACATCTCAGCTTTTGGAGAGTTAATGGTTGGAAAAACCAGCATTGTCAAACCTGACAATTTTATTCTAATTTTCAATTTAAACCAGAATCAACCACTTCAGAATCAACCTGTTTCCTGCCGGCATGGATGTCTCTGTCCTGGACTTCAGATAATCAGTGCCACTAGGGCAAACATTTAGAGTGGATTGCTATCAAACCTGAGTGAAAAAGAATTTAAAGATACACTACAAAAGATGTCTTCACAAAACTCTTCCTCTTCTCTGAAGAGGTCAAGGAAACCTCCACCACTAACAATTGCCTCCCTGCAGGTCTCATCCTCCATGGGCAGCATGGCCAGGAATGACCTGCAGCTCCTCACGATTATCAAAGCCTGTTTCACACACAGCTCAGTCTCATCTGTGTCGAGTGGGCAGCTTCTGTTGAGATGCAGGTCACTGCAGCATGCATTGCAATAGCACCAGCATCACAAGACAGCAAACACTGCAGCAGCTCAATACTCACACTCAGCAGGAGGCACTTGTTTTCTTTGATGGCACCTATGCAGCCCACGAAGCCAATGATCATGACAAACGTCCCTGTGACGATCAGCAGGTTGGCAGCTGACAGGGATGGGAAAGAAGAGGAGAGGGTGGCAAAGTTCCCTTGGGTGACAGCCAGCCAGATGCCTACACCAAGGATTCCACAGCCTCCCAACTGGGAAAACAAAGAGAAACAAAGAAACTCAGTTATTGTATCCAAGAAACCCCAGATATGAAACCATGTCAATATGGCAGTGGAGCAAACCAGCAGTCACACCTTGAAAGAAATGATTTCTTCTTATGACATTTTCAGTAGGAAAAACAAAGGAGAAAGAAAAAAACAAATATAGAGAAGTCACCAGTAAGATGCAACACTCAAAAATTGTCACAGATTTCCTAAATCCAAGACACAATCTCTAAACCAGGTCTTTTGCTCTCTAGTTAAAAAGCAGATGCTGAGTAAAGGATAAATTCCCAAAGGGTCAGTTCTCGAAGGGATTGAAAAATCCCTGTCCTATTTAGGAGCCTTAGAGAACTGCCCAGAATGGCTGAAGCATTTTTGATTCCCCATTCTTCCCATCCCAATACCCTGTCTCTCACCCTGACACATGCCATAAGCAAACCTTGCCAGAGCAGCCCCCTGGCAGGACAGCTCATACTCCTTAGTTCCTGCCTAAGGTCAAGCCTCTCCTGGAAGCAAGAGAGCATTTAAAGTGTAAGGCAAAGAGGATTTTGCATCTTTATCGAGTCACACAGCACAGCATCACTTAGGTTTCTTTCTTTCCTGCTCTCCCTTTAAAATAACCATTTTTTATTGAGTTTATAATTGCACTTTATTATCCAAATCAATTAAAGGCTTGGAATGAAATTGTGTTCATAGAGTAGTAAGCCAGACATATGCAGGAGCATATCCACTAAATACCTGCATAAAGTGGATGAACATAAGGCAGCTCATGAACCAGGGAAGGAAAAAGATAGAGCTAATCCTGGGGCAGAGCTAAACCTCAGAAATGAAACACAGAGGAGAAACACAAAAGCCAAAGCAATTTCTTATACTAATTACTAAGGTTGTCTCTTAATGCCACTGAATTCCTCCCCAAATAACAGGCAATAAAGGCAGCTGTGTTTTAAGGCAGCATTCCTCACCCCAGCTGCAAACCAGTCTGTTTTGTTCAGAGCTAAGGAATCAAACTACACCTCACATCAGTGTACCTCAGCTGGACCAACCTGTGTGTCTCCACTGAGAGAAAGCAAACTCCAAGGCACAGGGACTCAAAGCCCCTCATTTAGGAGTCTTTGCATATTCCAGGTATCCCCACATCACTGTATTCAACCTTGCACAAGTACCCTCTTACAAGTGCCCTGGAGGGACAGTCCATGCCCTGACCTGGCACACTGGAAATACCTCCCCTCTATTCCCACTTACAGAGCATGATCATTAACACTGTCCAAAATTATTAAAGAACAACCAAGGGAGTGGATGGGGAAGAATACCCACAGAAAATCATTTAGGCTAAGGGAGGGAATATAAAGAAATGCTATCATCATGGCCCAAGAGAAAAAAAAAAAAAAAGGAATCATAATATAGATAATATAGGAAAAAATTCCCTAAAAAGGAAATAAAACTCTGAAGGTCTACTGAACAGAACAGCATTGGAGGAGATGTATAAATACCTAAGCTAAAACCAAACTGGTCAGAGTGCTGAAATACAGTCAGGAATAGCACTAAACTGGCTGAGGAATGGGATGAAAAGCAGAAGTGCACTTCTGCCTCTTCAGCTTGGTGGATATTAGCCTCAAGATCAGCCTCAGAGCTGCAGGCATGGGGAGGCTGCTCAAACAGCCCAATTAAGCCTAATGAAGGCAGATGCCCAAGAGCTGCAGAGCCATGACCTTGCAATACATTTAGTTCTTATCTTCACTTCTTTGTTCTGAAGCAACTCAACAGCATCAATAAGAGGCAGCTTATTTAATCACCTTTCATGCTCACCCTGCTGCTACACTGCTTTGAGTGGTACCAACACCCACAACCATCACTTGGATTGCAGGAGGTGGGTCCCACTGAGGATGCTGCAAAGGCAAGACCTGCTTGCCTGCTCCTCCATCATCCACTAAATTCTTATTGATGCACAATGCTTAATACTTGAGACTTTGTTGCTTGGATGTTTGAATTCAGCATCTTCTGACTCCAAAGTCATGCTTGTTTGCAAAATCTGGAAATTCACCAGTGGCATGAAACATCAGAACAGCAGGACACAGTTCATGTAAAATGCCACAACTGGAGCTGCAGCCTTTAGATCAGGGATGAATATTTTAGGTCAGCTGTTCAGCAGGAGTATCTCACTACACTGCCCTTGATTCAGAGATACTCTGCTCTCCAGCAGCTCATTACATTCCTATTTTTGAAGAATTAATGCACAGCTCTTCCTTAGGTTGACTGACCAAACTTGAAATGCACAAAGGAATCCTTTGAACATTAAACCACCCGGCTCAAACTGGATTTCATAATGTCAGCACACATTACTGAAGACTGCTCCACTTTTGTTCAGCTCTGTTCCTTTTCCCACACCAGAATATCTACTCAGGGTCCCCAAATAAATTTACTAAGCTGTCACATGAGGCACATCCAGGAAACAGAGGCTGTCCTTAGCTCTAGACTTAACTGCTCTTTAAAGCTCCCCTTTTCCCCAAGGTGCAAAGCACACCTGCAAGTCTCCATCCAGTGGCCTTTCAACACTCAAGCATCTGGTTAGGGAAATGTTTAAAGAACCAGCACCCACCAAGACAGCCACAGGAGCCTTTCCAACAATAGCCAAATGTTTTCTATTTCAGAACATTCAGAAAGCTTGCTCCTCAACCCCTCTGCCCTCAATTCTGAACTGAATTGGACTGTAATTTCCAGACTGAGACACTGGCATTAGAGGCATCACATTTACTTGTTCTGGATCAGAGCCAAGAAAAAACAGTTGTAGTTGGCTCTATGCTGCATGTCTGTTTTTACTTCCTCCTCTTGATATCTAAGGCGTGGATAATTTTAAATGGTTATTTACGATGTTCCCCCTCCTCCACTTTTTCTCTCCTTACCCCCACCCCCAACCCCCAGCCCTTTTTTGTGTCAAAGAGTGTCAGAAGCATAGTGAGGAAATGAAAAGTTTTGACAGTTTTCTGGGCTTGCTGATGTGCAAAATTAAACAAAACCAAACCCATTAGCAGGGGTAGTTTTGACAATTTGGGGGCTTCTGCACAAACAGTGATACTGTCATGGTTAAAAGAGAAACTATTAAGACAAAAACATCAGAGAGAAGTCTCCAGCTTGAACCTGATCTACTGGCAGCCAAATGAGAGTCTGTATTAACTCCATTTGGTGAGTGCAGAATTGACTTTAAATTAAAAAAAAAGGTCCCCTTCAAAGATGCCAGGCTACTGACAATTGCATTTTTTTAAATTCCCTTGTGAAATGTTTAACACATTATTTGCCTAATTTTTCATGATAATCCGCTCTCTTGTAAGCAAGGCAGCTCATGGCAAAACCTGAAACAAAATGCAGTTCTCTCTAACTGCAGTTCTCTCTAACCTTTTTTTCCCAATTGATGTTGTTTTTTTTTTTTTTTTGCAAAGTCTTTTATACTAAGGTCAAAACAATGAGACACCAGAAGGAATTCTGTCCCAGCCCTAAGACATAGGATATTTGAGTCAGGTGTTTGCTCCAGGAAAGACCTCAGTGTAAATCCTGAAAGGGCTGTTTGGTGCATCTGTGCCTCAGCTGCAGAACTGTGAGGAAAGGACAGTGAGATCTTTGCAAGCCCTGGTCTTTGCAATTGCCTGTGGAAGTAGCAGAATATTCTGCTCAAAACAAATTCCTCACAAATTTATAGAGCAGAGTGAAGCAGTACAGCAGGTGTCTTACTCTAAAAGCAGAGATTATCTGTCTCTTCTTCCCCAAGAGATACACAGAGGCATGCACTCGCTCTCTTGGCAAAAAAGCTGCCTATGGAATCAGATCCTCAAATTGTTCTAATGGTCTAGAAAATAAATTATTCAGGCTTCAGTGCCTACATTTAGAATTGATCTTACAGTATGATAATCAAAGTAATCCCAAACAGCCCTGGATATATGCTTGTTGGTGAAGAAAATTATTCTGAAGTTACAGCTACACACTTAAAATACTGCAGGAGAAATTGACTCATTGTTCATGATAATGGTGCTGGCGTCTTTAAGTGGGGTTTTTTATTGGTTTTATTACATGGAAAATGCATCTAATTCAGGTTTCTTGTATTGTATCTGATTTGGATCTACTCATCACACTTCCTCTTCTAGCCCAAAAAAAAAAAAAAAAAAAAAATCCTTGTGTGTTAAGAAATCCACTGATAACAGTATCCAAGTGGAAGATATGACCAGTTCCCTTGGAGGATTTTTCTCCCCCAGTCTCTACATATTTAAACTAGAAGGGCTCTCTCAATCCCACTTTCATGAATGTGCCTCCTCCACCAAGTATGGAGTGAAAGTATACAGTGAAAAAAACCAGCATCTATAAGTATCAACAGTAGTGATATGAACATTATCCTGCAAATGTTCTTGTAATATCAGGCACACTGAAATTACTGCTGCTTTCAGCTAGACACAGAGAGGGGGTAGAAATGGAATACATATGTATATTGACAGGATCAAATGAATCAAGATTCTCATATGGAGAAGCAGGAGCATGGGTGTAAGTGCAGAGGCTGCAGTGCTCCACACAAACCCCTGTGAATGACCTGTCCCTGCAGCTGTTGCCCATCCAGGAGGGAGTGGCCACTTCTGGAATACTGTTAACGTCTTACTGCAAAAGTTCCATACCTTCTTGATGATTTGTCATGGGCATCTCCTCACAGCACAGCCAACAAACTCCAGCTCTCTTCCCAGCCAGCCAACCCCCTCTTTTATAGCACTCATCCTCACTGGACACAGCTGTGGCCTGTTAAGGGCAGGCTTGTTCCTAATCTTTGGGGATTAGTACAGCTGCAACTCCTCAAGGGTGAGATTACCTTCTGCACTATATTTTCTTACATTCTATCCCCCCACAGAATATACCTTCAAACACATTGGCCACTTGTGGAAAACACCTTCCAGAGGCAGTTCCTGGCCATTGCTGAAGCCCTCGTAGCCATCCACCTGCACCACACCACCACGACTACT